AGACAAAGCTTCTTGACAATCTGACTGAGTACTTCAAGCAAAAAGAGGGTCATGTTTATCTGGTGGAAGGATACAAAACAGAGTTTGAAAACAGTGCAAGAAGCATTGGCCAAGAAATGAAGAGGTCTGTGTTTCGTCAGCTGGAAGAAACAGCTGATATCAGACAGGGAAAGGCAGAAGTTGATAAAATCAAGGAAAATCACACAAAAGACATTGAAACAGCGGTGCATGCACTGATTAATGAATGTCGGAAGAAAAATGTCCAAATGACAGACAAAGAGCTGGACAAAGAATTTGATAAGATGTGGGATCAAACACTGAAGAAACTGTCTTTTTCTGAACAAAAGCCAAAAGATGTTTTTGCCAATGTGAACTATCACCTGTACCAAAATCTGTCTCCTAAGGGGAGTCGTGCATGTGAACTGTTAAGTCAAAAACGCCTGAAAGATTGTGGACTGGTACCTTTCAAATATAAACCTGAGGGAATTGTACACCATGTGAAAAAGTTTTTTAACTTTGATCACACAAAGGCAGTACAAAGAATGGCTGACAGCATCATAGATGCTTGCACACAATTTGTAACTGAAAAGCAGCAAAGGAAAACCAATTACCGTGAAAACTACATCCAGGAGATCCTACACATGATTGATGAGAAGTTGCAAAACAATCAGGATGTTAAGACAGACATTGAGTGGGAAGTTCCTCTGAAACAGCACATCTGTGGAATTGCAGCCAGACGCTTCCAGAAAATGCATGAAGATTTCCTCCATGACAACGATCCTTACAAATGTCTTATGGAAAACAAAGACAAGTTCAGGGCTGATTTCAAAGATGTGTTCAACGAACGAGACCAGTGCCAGAAGAAGGCAAAAGAATTCACCAACCAGTGCCTGAAGCCTGCAGTCGAAGACTTTGTCAACCGTTCTCTGGGCACTGACATCACTGGTGAAATGCGGACAAAACCGCAGTTTAGCACACGGATGTTCTGCCAGTATTCAATTTTGCAAGATTTACTTTCAAAACATGATTTTGACAAGTATTTGAAGTACATTTGCTCATATGAGAAATATGTCAAAAAGTGGATACTGGACCAAATACAGCTAAACTTGTCAAACGGCTCTAAGGTGTCTGAGTTTGAGGATCGGCATATTCAGTCTAGTATCACCAACATCAGTGATGCTATCAAAAAAGCCAAAATGCAAAAAAGTGACAACCTGAAGGAATTTGTAGAAGTTATCTGCAAAGAACTTGGTGGGAAGTTGGTCATTTCCCGATGCTTTGGGTGCTTTCATGATCCTGAACAATGCTGACCAGGAACAGTTTGCTCACTGGCTCACAGAGTCTGTTAAAGAGATGGGACAAGATCTTAGAGAGAAGTTTAAAGAACCACACATCCTGACTAAACTAAACCATCTCCATGTGAAGCCCCAGAATGAGCTTTTCTCCACACTGATTGGATGTGGTAAACAGTGTCCATTCTGCAAATCACCTTGTGAGGCAGGTGGAGGTGCCCACACTGAGCACTTTGCTTCACTACATCGGCCAGAGGGTCTGGGTACATACAGGTGGACCCAAACAAACAAACTTGCCACTGACATATGCTCTTCTCTTGTGATCAGTGATGGAAGATTCCGCTGCCATGCTATAAATAATGCCTACCACCCTTACAAGGATTACCGAAATATTTTCCCAGACTGGAAAATCCCTCCAGATGGCAGCCTTCAGGCATCAGACTACTGGAAATATGTGATGGCAAAGTTCAACAATGACTTTGCTAAAGAATATGATGCAAAACACGCTGATATTCCTTCTTCATGGTATGAAATAAAACGTAATGAAGCAGAGGAGAGTCTCAAAAAGTCATTTTCCATCAAGTGAAACCATCAATATACCTCCCTCACTTTGCTTTAAGTGTTTTGCTGGACTAGGTTTTAGGTCAAAGATGTTTCACCTCTCATCCAAGAGGCTTCATCAGTTATGCTCAACTGGTGTTTAGCCGGAGATATTTATCCCCATCGGTGGTGTTTCAGTCCTTTGGTGGCGAACAATGTCACC